AGCAAATGGCTGCAATATAACAAAGAGTGAAAAATTGAAGGGGGTCTGAATACTTTCCGTACCCACTGTATATATTTATTTATTTGCTTTATTTAATTCAGATTCAGTTAAACAAAATAACAACAAAATATTTAACTCCGGAAAAGATATGGCAAACAGTACAAATGTAAACAGTAAACTCAAAACAGTAAAAAGACAAAGTCTACTCACTGACTACACTGCCTAACACACTCACACACATCTGGTTTGCTATTCTTGTGGGGACTCCCCATAGGCGTAATGTTTTTTATACTGTACAAACCATATATTCTATCACCCTACACCTAAACCTACCCCTCACAGAAAACTTTATGCATTTTTACATTCTCAAAAAAACTCATTCTGTATGATTTATAAGTTTGTTTCCCCATGGGGTCCTCAATTTAGGTCCCCACAGTGACACGAGCCCCCATGAGTGTGTGTGTGTATTCAGGTTTAAGTCCCCACCGGGATAGACACACTCCCCCTACATGCCAGTATATTCTATAACCCTACCCCTAAATCTACCCATCACTCGAAACTTTCGGTATTTTTACATTTTCAGTCATTCTGTATGATTTATAAGCTTGTTTCCTCATGAGGACCTAAAAATGTTCCCATAAGGTTAGACTTTACTGGTTTTGCTATACTTGTTATGGTCCCCATAACATAGTTAATACCAGTACACACACACAGCCTCTGAATATGCATTCTCTGTGATTGAACTTTTAATGCATACAATTTATAGTGACCTATAAAGGGTTTATAAATTGTACCCACTTTACCACCTTGTATATTTCTTAAAATGCTATGTCATCCTTTTAACATTCATGTTAGGAACAAAAATATGTCCATTAATAATAGACAGTTGAAATATCACAAATATCAATTTTTAAACATAATTTGCGTAGCATGTGTGTAAATGTGACTTTTAACCTATTATCATAACACTGTACAACGAAACAGCATGTGACGCAATGGGACACCACTCCGGGTATAGTTGAGACACTGCGTGACATACTCGCACGTTTCTCTACATTATGAAAGACCTTGCATTGCACGATGTCTTAAAATATGTCTATTTTTAGAGCACAGAGTAATGTTTGCAATGATATACGTTAAGTTTAACAATCATAAAAGGATAATAAGCTATTCATTTTCTTTCCAGGGGCAATAATAGAAATAGGAAATGTGAATAATATTATGTGTAACTGCAGAAACACTTTTAAAAATAACGCCATTCTAGTCAGTACTAGTGAAGTGTGACCGCGAGCCTCAGTTGTTTAGTAATTGTGCTTGATGTGACTTTCCTGATCACACACTACACGGCCGGTTGCATAAACTGCTTAGACTAGTCTTAAAAATTAGACACCTATTTATTAATTTTTTCTGCAAGACTGCCCATAACTTTAAAGGCAGTTACATAAAAACTTGGATTGGTCTAATTTGAATCTGAAAAGTAAGACTGATAACCACTTGGTTAACAGCTAGTTAGCCAAGCTCTTAAGACACAGTCTTAAAGGGGTCATATGATGTTGCTAAAAAGAACATTATTTTGTGTATTTGGTGTAATGAAATGTGTTTATGTGGTTTAAGGTTCAAAAACCACATTATTTTTCACATACTGTACATTATTGTTTCTCCTCTATGCCCCGCCTTTCTGAAACACGTCGATTTTTACAAAGCTCATCGGTTTGAAAAGCGAGGTGTGCTGTGATTGGCCAGCTATCCAGTGCGTTGTGATTGGCCGAATACCTCAAGCGTGTGACGGAAATGTTGCACCCCTCACCATAATGTGATGCCGTGTCCCGGCTGGAGCAACGAGACAAAAACATTAAAACCCATTATAAACGAGGCATTTATTGCATCCAGTGGGGACATAATTACTGATTATGATTTATACTGTCTTTTTATGCGTTGCGTTGCATCGCGCCATGTAAACATAAAACCCTGTCTGCATTTGTGATCGGAGAAATGACAAACAAGTGCTACTCTACACTTTAAATCGCATCATATGACCCCTTTAACGTGGTGACTGTTTATGCAGCTGGCCCTTGCTTGCAGTTTCCTTCGATCTTTTGCAGCAGTTGTTCTGTTGCATCATAATATAGCTGCGACTCCTGTGAGCTCGATCGAGCTGAATGTTTTCATTTGAATCAAATATTTCTTGGACATGAGCAGATACAGAAGGAGCTCTTTTAGAAACACATACCCTGATATAGCACACGTACGTCTATTTGAATGCGTTTACATCTGCAAGATGTATTTTTGTAGTGTTTGCTCATCTGCAGTGTGTCTATCAGATGTAAAATAGACGTTTAGAAGACGTCTTTAAGATGTTTATGATTTAGAATGCATGTAAAACTGCCATCTTAAAGATGT